CAGGCTCTGTGCTGACAGCTCAGAGCCTGGAGCCTGCTTCGGATTCTGTGTCTCCCTCTCTCTCTGCCCCTCCACCACCTACACTCTCTGTCTCTTTCTCTCTCAAAAATAAACAAACATTAAAAAAGATAAAAAATAAAACGCTGGGGATCGGGGAATACGGGGCGCAGTCTTGAGAAACAGCAGTTACCAGCTAGAAGAGAGCAGCCACAGCTCCAATATGCATACCCGTTTAGCCTTTGAAAATACTTTAGTTACGTGACCCCTGGTTTAAATGCACTGTTTGTTTAATTCAATAAAATATCCCTATCACTCTTGAGATAAAGACTTTCCAACCTTTTGATTTGTCTCCTCTTTTTACTTACTCACTTCTTACTCTTACAAGGTAAAAAAGTAAGCCACATCTTCAAGCTCTGTCTAAAAAAGATACTGCTAAGCTTTTTCAAGAACTACTATCAGATGAAAAATCTTTAAACCATGTGCCCTGCTGGCAAAAGGAAATTTTATAAGTCTGGAAATGTCTTCAGTCTTGGTAGCCTCCCAAAATCAAAGCAGGCAGAAAAATGCTTAATTGAAACTCAGGAGCATGATAACGTAATCAGTCTGGTTGTCTCCCCCAGTAATTATTCAGATTTTCACCTCTAACCCCATTGCCACTTGGGTCCCTGAAGGTAGAGGTCTGTGACAATAACTTTGGCTTCATTCTTGTGGCCAACCCTGATGACTGAGTTGGCCTCATTTTCTTATGGATGCTTCTGATCGTGTTCACTACTTCTGTTGGAAGAGTTTCTCCTCTGCTCATGGCAAGACTTTCTTTTCCCTCTACGGATTTATAATGGCCTATGGGCAGCAGCATTATACTGCAATAAACCATATGGCAAATACTTAAAAAAACTGAGATTAAACTTACAGTGTGTGTGCGCAAATTTCTAAGAAACAGATCCTTACCCAAACTCTATGTCTGTACGCGTGAGAATTTATTTGACAATCATTTGACATTTAACACAAGCCCACCGTGTGTGGGATCCTGGAAAAGATAACACCCCGTGACAATTCCTGCTTTGCTGTAACTGGTGGTACACGAGATAGAAATCTCAGTATCACAGAGCACCTCCACTGAAGATACTTAATCAGTAAAGATCCAGAATTTTGCAAGTCTTTTCATTTGAGGAAAAGCCATAGCAAGAAATATACGAGGGTAGAGACTATGAACAACTGAGGATGTTTTGTGTGATCTGTAGCTCTCAACCTGACGTCTTGCTATGGGTTGAATGGTCTCCTGGAAAAGATATTGAAGTCCTAAGCCCTCACAGTGTGGTATTATTTGGGAAAAGAGCCTTTAAAGAAATGATCAAGTTAAAATGAGGTCAGTAGGGTGAGCTCTAATCCAGTAGGACCAGTGGCCTTACCAAAAGGGGAAATTGGAAACAGAGACGGGCACGCACAGAACAAAGACAATGGGGAGACAATGCAGTGCGAGGACAAAGGGTTGGAGTGATGTATCTAGAAGACAACACCTGAGGCTACCAGAAGTCAAGAGAGGCTCCCTCCAGATGGAGCATGGCCCAGCAAACACCTTAAGTTCAGACTTCCGGCTTCCAGGACTATGAGACAATAAATCTCTATTGTTTGAAGCCACCCAGCTTAGGGTACCTTGTTACGGAAGCCCTAGGAAAACAATACAAGAACCTTTCCAGAACTGTACAGTTTCTTCATACATAGCAAGGCCTTAGTGCCTCCCAAGTTCTCCTTTTTAACGTTTTGACATGGATTTGCATGCCCTTTTATGATGCCTAAAAAGTTCTACCACTACTGACATTTTCGAAGTTAATATCCATTTAACATTTGGTTCATAATGATCTGAACAAGGTCGGTGAACCCCTAAATGTTAAGTCAACAGATTCTATTTTCAAGTCCCAGAAAGGTCAGTGAAAACACCCAAAGCAGGGGCACCTGGGTGCCTCGGTCAGTTGAGTGGTTGACTTTTCATCTCCACTGAGGTTCTGATCTCACAGTCTATGAGATGGAGCCCTCTGTCAGGCTCTGCACTGACAGTGTGGAGCCTGCTCGGGATTTTCTCTCTCTCCTCTCTCTCTCTCTGTTCCCCCTCTCAAAATAAATAAATAAACAAACTAAAAATGTCCAAAGCAAATTTTTTATATACAGGAAAAAGGGATGAATGGAAAAGACAATGAAGATGAACAGTTTGGGGATTGAAATAAATCATTTCACTTTCTATGAAGCTAAGGTTATTGGTAAATAGAATTCCTTTTATTTTTGAAACTAGTATAAATGGATCATTCTATTCAATTGTATCAATGATCTCTTCTGGCTTCTTTTGAAGAGTTCTCAAATATGTTAGCTTTGTTTTTTGTTTGTTTAAGTTTAGCATCCACTGATCTCCTTTCCATCCAGTTAGGAAACTTAGGTTTCTAAATGGCCCAAACAGCTCCAGGTGAGAATGCAGAATCATTCCCCATCTTTTCCCTTCTACGCCCATGTTTTCTCAGTTTGTGGCATCATATCTGGCCATAGGAAGTGCTCGGTTACTATTTCTTCAAAGTAAAAGCCAGATATGAGATCACATTTAGAAAATCAATAGAATACAAGCATTTACAGGGGCAGACAACTGGTATGGTGTTTTGATGCGGCTTTTTAAAAAGGCATTTACTCCTATACACTAAAACGGACTCTCGGTGTTGACGATTCTGCACCGACCACCTTATTAAAGTCTGAACTCTTGCAGACATCTGAGAAAGCAGGGATGACATGATGCGGTCATGACATGATGCTGGTCTCATGTCCACCTCTTCCAAGGGCTTTGACTTAATCCTTTCTTTGGTCTGTAACCCAACCCGTTCTCCTTTTCCAGAATCGGTCAAATGACTGGTATGGCGGGTAGGCTCTGAGATGGCCCCCATCACGCAGAGCCCTTGCCTCCCGGTCTTCGTGCCCTGCCCTCATCCTGAGTATGAGTGGACCTTGTGGCTTGCTTCTAACCAACAGAATGTGTCAACGGTGACAAAACACCACTTGCACGATTATGTTACCTAAGACAGTGACCTGTGTCTTGTTAGCAGCCTCTATTAACTCTCATGCTGGCTCTGATGGTGGAAGGCTTTTTGCCAGAATAAAAGTGCTATTAGTTTCTATCGCTGCATAACAAATTGCTGTAAACTTAGTGGATTAAAACTATATATATTTATTATCTCGTAATCTTCCTGGGTCAGGAGCCTGGGTGCTGCTGAGCTGGGCCCTCCGCTCAGGGCCTCACAAGGCTGCAGTCGAGATGTCAGCCAGAGCTATGGTCTAATCTAAGGACTGGTTTCCTCTTCCAGCCTCACCAGTTATTTGCAGAATTCAGTGCCTTGCACTTGTGGGATGGAGGCCCTCACGTCCTCGAGGCTTCCCACCATTCCCTACCACACTGTCCTCTCTGGAATATGCAGTTTGCTTCTTCAATGCCTGCATCTCCACTGCTCTCAATTGCTCTGACTTCTTCCATCTCTCATCTGTAGTGCCTCTTTGAAAGGGCTCACCTGATTAGGTCAGACCCACCTAGGATCATTTCCCTTTCGCTTAAAGTTACCTGCTTAGGAATTTTAATTACAACTGCAAAATCTTTCACCTCTTCCACAGAATGTAACCTAAACGATAGAGTGGTATTTCATCATATTCACGGCCCGTGCTCACGGGGAAGGGATTACTCAGGGCAACTATACCGGCCGACGGGAACCTGGGGGGCCATCTTTGAATTGTGCCTGCCACAACCGGCATGTCTCAGTACCATCTGTGTGCTTTATTTCCACTAGGCTCCTACAGTTTACATTTTGGTAAAGGATTTTTGCAATACTATACTAGCACCACAGCGGCAACGGCAAAATCAGAATTGCCCTGACTGTAATATTTACACGGAAGACCATTTGGTACCATTTCAAAATCACATCTACTCTAGACCAACGATCCTTTGCATGAAACACAAGAATGGAGTTTCTTTTCCTGTCTTCAACTGGGGCAACGGTCACTGTGATTGAAGAATAAAATGTTGCAGTCAGAAGCCCGAATGGCCAAGACAAAGCGGTCTGCTCCATGAAACGCATACTCTCTGTGAGCGCAAGACAGCCACGTTTCTATTGGAGCAGACTCGACAGCTTTCCCCTTCCTACTCCTTGTGGCAGAGCACCGTGTGAGGGAGTCAATAGCACTTATCACGGTCAATGCTGGAGACGGTTGAAGTGAGCAAGCCTGGCCGTGTTTCGTTCCGCCACGGTGGTGATCTGTGGTAGGTTAAACGCTGCAGATCGTACCACACAGTCTGCCATGCCTCCGTGCCAAATCCCCTCCCTGAACAAGAGTGGGAGGCAAAGAAATGTCAACAGTTTCTCCACAAAGACGTACCGCTGACATGGGTGCGCTGATATTTTCTTTACTCAGAGGTAAACGAATTTTGTGTCTCTCAGTATTTTAAAACTAAACAGGTTGTTTTTGGCCCCCATTCTGTCAACTGATAGAGAACTCCAAGTACCTCTTAATTTTATTGATATTCACACATTTAAACAGTGGAACCGACCAGATATAGTTTATTAAAATGTGTTCATCAAAAACAATTTTGACTCAGTTTTGAAAAATTGCAAATACATTAAAAACTGTTACAGTGTCATGAGATTGCAAATATTGCCTTACGAAATGATAAAGAAATTGTTCAGTAAAAACTATGAAATATCTTAATTTAAATTTCACATATAAAAATATATATTTTACGCAACACTGAACAGTTAAGGCCACAGAACTTGAAGGAGAGTTTGAGATACACATATTTTTGAAATCGCTGGTCAAAAATATTAGCATAAATAAACAGCAAAACTGGTCGTAGCATTCAAAATAAAACATTAACTTCTATGTTTAAGGGTTTGTTATCAGAAACTTTCCTTCAGAAGTCAGAATGGTTTTCAAGTATAAATTACAATGTGCTTGGTGATCACGGAGACATAAATGTATATTTATAGTATCGTACAAGATTTTGACCTTCTCGCCATACTTGGGGGTGAAGTATCCTGATGATTTTGCCCCATGTGGCTCTGGCTGGCATCTTTCTGATTGCTTTTAAAAGCTATTTGATCTCCTATTGGTTTTATCTCTGAGAGTGGCTCATTATTACTCTGCATACTTTTCTGACTCGTGAGTGACATCCTTTTAAGGAAGAAAATCTAGAAAAAAAACCCACACACACAAAGAATTCATTTCAGTAAGTGAATAGCCACTTAATAGGATTTAGGGGGGATAATTTTCAACTAGTCTGAACATTGTTTCATCACACCCTTACAGGGTGTCACATGTACAAAGCGACATGCTTAGTGTCCAGCAGCACCTTGTTTTACCAAGGGCAATCATGCCCCTTCCCTAATATAAGACCTTTCAGGGTTTAGCTTTCAACACTGTCAGTGCCTTGGGAATACATTACCATTTTTCTTTAAAGAGCAGATTTGTTATTTCACTTTGTTGTGACGAGAGAAAAAAAAAAAAAAAGAAAAGTAGGGTATCCTGGAGGATTTCCCCATTCCTGTAGATGGGAACTTCTGGGAAAACGCTGGTGCTGCCGAATGATGGCTTTGGGGGCCCAGGGGCCTGAGCAGGCGGCTGGATACCTGAGTCTGCTACTCGGGGGAGTCCGGGGCCGTGAACAGGGAGAACACACACAACAGCTGGAGAGAGGAAAGTCGATGCCATAACCCAGGATCGCAGGCAGGCAGAAAAGAGAACGGAAGAAAAGAGACTGAGGAAGAGCCAGATGTGAGACACAGGTGGAGGAAGAAGAGCCGGCACTGGGGACAGAGCTTTGTAGGAACACAGTCAGGAAAGAGAGGCACCTCAGGAGTCAGGGAGGAAAATGTATCAAGAAGGGAGTGGCCAACAGAGCACAGTCAGGAGAAATCAAGGGAGATAGATGATGACTGGAAAGTTCCATTTGACTTAACCCCTTTGAGGATTTAGTCAGAGAGAAAACAGGATTCCTGAAGTGTAACAGCACAAATATCAGTTCTGACAAGATGCCCTAAACAAAAAACAGGTGAGAACTTGGCTCCTTCGGAAATCAAAATGATGCAAGTAATTGCTTGCTGTCAGTCTTGAAGAATGGAGGAATTGAAGCAACAAGGTGTAATCCAAAAACTCAGAGTCTAGCTAGAAAAGGGTCTATGGACTAAACTGGGGGGACCCCTCTTTCGTTTCTGCTTTTGTGTGGGAATCCCTATCATGAAAATTCTGCTACTACAAAACATCAAAAAATTCTAAGTGTAAAAAATCTAATTTTATGATGTGTACAGAAGTTCATGAAAAAAATGAAGGGAAATCCCTGTGGGCCACAAAATGAAGAGGGCGCAGGAAGCCTCAGAGGTGAGCGAGCAATAAAATGGCATTTATTGATCTCACAACTTAGACTCGCTTTGGTAAACGTATCTGATCTCATAAAATGTGGAAAATCGGGACTGAGACCCCCATACATAAAGTGAGGACCCTCTAGGGACTATGCCCTTAATTAAGTCCACTTACACACACTGGGAGACGGCAAAATAACCTGTGTCCCTTGGTCTAGGCTGTGAGTGAGGGAGAAGCACGTTCTCCTAGTGTGAGGCTGGGCTCCCGTTTACTTTACTGGTGCCGGTGAGGAACGCTTCGTGCTCCCGGAATGGTAATGCCCAGGAGAGCTACCAGAGGCTCTGACAAATTCTCTATGGATGGATTTTCATGGAAGCCTTAAGGGGCATCCACAAAAAGTCTCAGCTGAACATGAACTCAGAATCCAAATTTTTTTTTTTTAACGTTTATTTATTTTTGAGACAGAGACAGAGCATGAACGGGGGAGGGTCAGAGAGAGGGAGACACAGAATCCGAAACAGGCTCCAGGCTCTGAGCTGTCAGCACAGAGCCCGACGCGGGGCTCGAACTCATGGACCGTGAGATCATGACCTGAGCCGAAGTCGGCCGCTTAACCGACTGAGCCACCCAGGCGCCCCCAGAATCCAAATTTCAAAACACATGAGGAAGCAGGACACTACCAGCAAGTCAACCAAATCAACAGACAGATTTAGATTCCTGAAGATGTCTGACGTTGGGATGACTAAATATACAATATAAGTGTGCTTAAAGGACCAGGATAAAAAACATGAGCACGAAACAAGATACTAGTTTTTAAAAGATCAGATTGATTTGAAGAAGAATCAAAATAGAATTTCATTTCAAAATGAGAAAAATATAATCGATGAAATTAACACTCAACAGGTAGGTTAAAAAGATTAGTTTTAGCTGTAAAGAAACTATGGCATCAAAGAGCTCTGAAATATGAGGGTTGTGACATTCCCCCAAAATATTACTTAGACACGGGCAATGGGAAAGTAACATTGAAAGGCATGGACAACAGAATGAAAAATTTCATACCAGGGAGCGCCTGGGTGGCTCAGTCGGTTAAGTGTCCGACTTCAGC